AATTAACCAATAAATGGGATATTTTCCTCAAAGTCCAAGAAGTGAGAGAGGCCAAGGCTAGAGCTGAGGAACAGCCTCCCTTCCATAGAGAAGTTACAGGGAGGAACACGAGCTACCTGTGTCTGGATGTCCAGCTGCCCTCGAGCCTGAAGCCACAGGGGTGAGGTGCAAACACAATGCCCGACCCCATAGGTCAACACAGAACCTTCTAGAAGGAAAGTGCCACTGCTTAATTACCAAGCTAGGACAAGGAGGCTTCTCTCTTCAAAAAGAATCTCAGCTATTGGTCAACACCTAATTGCTTTAATTGCTGCAGCTGTAGCCAAGTACCAGCAATCTAGCAGCTCCATCACAGCTGCCTACTGGAGATTCTTCAGCTGCAGACATTTGCTATTGCTATAGATGCTAGTTATAGTGTTGAAAAGCTCCCCTGGACTAGTAAGGAGAAGTCTTGCAAGAGTGAGAGAATTCTTTTAAAAATGGAGGAAAAAAGTGAGGGAAGAGGTGTGAAGAATTAAAATACTTCTGCAAGGAATTTTGGTTCTGGCAAAACTGGCCTACACAAGCAAGTCTGAGAGAACGTATTAGGTGAACCACCAACCAGCCTCCCATCCCAAATGAGCCTTTTGAGCATTACAGATCCTAGAAACAAGAAGCCCATGAAATAACATTAAGAAGAGTCACCTGAGAATTATACACAATTTAGAGGAAGCAACCATTACTCAGATAAAAAGTATTCACCAAAGCATGTATTGAAAAAGACAAAAAAAGTTTTTAATTAAGCTAATGCCTGTTCATGATATTGCTCTTTAATTCCATTTTCTAAGTTAAATTAATCACATTTGCTTATATCCTATTTCAAAGTTGATCCTACCTTCATCCTACAGCTCACACATGGAGTTACAACATGTCTGATTCAGTGTTTCCTTGTTGCAAAATAGCAGATGTATTCAAACAACTTGAACTTAACACATTTAGCTAATCTTCAGCTCCCTCCCCACGCTGTCTGCTGGGGCTCACCTCCCAGCTCCTACCAGGACCCTCACATCCATGAGTTCAGTTCAGTGCCTGTGGCCCACACATTGTCCCCCTTATGATCAAACACAGCAGTTCCATGGGATAGCAGATCCCAAGCACATTGAGCAGCAAAAGATGTACAAGAGTAAAAATGAAGAACTGGACCTGTGACTAAAACAACCCTATAAAGCACATGCCTGGCATTACAACATCCACCCTACAAGCTCTGTTGTGCCATACTGAAGGGGAACATGTACTGCCATCTCTAAACAGGGTACCACAAGGGGCAACAAGCAATTTACCCAGGACCTCTCAGAAAATCAGTAGAAAATGGAAAGGCATACAGCCCACCCACAGAAAACAACATCCAATGAAGAGCAGCAAACCCCAGCCCAAACATTTCCTTGCAAAGTACAACAAATACTGCTCCCCATTACAGACACAAGCTTAATCCCATCCCTGCAACACAACACTCACCACTCCTGGAGAACCACCTCTCTTCCATGCTCCCAGCCACTAAGTCCCAACTTCCACCTGCCTCCTTTTGTCTCCTTGGGCTTGATTGCTAATCCAGCACAGCTGACACCCCTAAAGAAAAAAGGGGAAAAAAAAAGAAAAAAAAAGAAAAAAAGAAAAAAAGAAAAAAAGAAAAAAAGAAAAAAAGAA